TCGGGGCCATTTAACGAAGCGTGTTAGATCTCTTTTGGGCTGGGTGTCCTGCCCAATGCCAAAGTTCTTGGGCCTTTTCTAGAACAGAGGATTGACCACCTTTTTGGCCTCCTGCTTCTTGACGACGGCGGGGGCCGGGGCCACCTTCTTCCCCTTGGCCTTCTTTCCTTTGGGCATCTTGCTCGGCTGGAGGAGAGCTGGAGATGACATTCTTAAAGTGACCATTGAGCAATATAACCATGCTGTGTTTTTGAACTCTGATAGAAAGTATCGAACTAGTTAAGATCCAGGCCTGTGTGGTGACCACAATTCCTATTGAGACTTTTAGCAGAAAATGATGAGTACCTGTATCCTGAGAGAACTCGGGGGCCCGAACACCCCTATCTGAGCACCTCTAAAGTGCAGTGCTGAACTACATCTCCTCACACTGAGACTCATTCTTTACAGTGGCTGCAGCATACTAAAATTAAGCTAATGTATGTGTGTGTCATTCGTGGATCCAAAGAATTCCTTGGGTGGTTGACTGACTGGAAGCACTTGACAGTCCAGGAGAACAAAGCAGTTAAATAAACTCAGTGCTACATGCCATCATTTCATTTTCCTTTATGTTTGCATAAAGTTCTGCTGGGCATGTTTTGATCCACTGTCTTTATCCATCTGTTGTTGATACACATCAGGCTCAACCCACGTCCTGACTTTCATGCACAGATCAGCAGTAAGGATGGCTGAGCAAGTATCTCTGTAGTGTGTCTTCAGGACATAGACCCATGCATGCTGGAGCAGGGAACAGAGTAGGCCTGGCTCCACTTCGTTTCCCACAGTGGTTCCACACGATGGCATTGCCACAAGTGGTGAATACAAGCTCCCCCTTCCCTTCACCATTGTCCTCAAAACCTTGACAGCATTAGTATTTGTCACTTGCTTACTTCATGACAGGCCTGTTGACTGAAAAAAGGAGACTTTTATGACAGCCTTAGCTATTCAGAAAATGTAATTAAAAGGACCTTCAGGATCTCTGAGTTGGATCCCACCCCGACTACAGAGTGAATGCCAGGATAGCCAGGACTATGTAGAGACCCTGTCTCAAAAATAAAACAAAACCAAAATAAACAAAATAGCCCACCCCACCCAACAGCTTAAAAGTCCACCTTAACCAGGTCACTATAGCTAACATCAAGAAAACACTGACCACAAGTGCTGGCAAGGACCCAGGGAAAGCCTAAGCCTTGTTCCCTACTGGCAGGAGTATGAGCTGGCGTGGTCACATGGAAATCTGTGTGGCAGTTTCTCCACAATCTACCATCTGATCCAGCCATACCACTGTCAAACATGTGCCCATTCATCAAGGATGACTAGAGGGTGAATGTGGGACACATTTGCACAATGAAGTTCCATTAGATGGAAAGAAGTCAACTTTTCAAGAAATGGTTGGAACTGGACAGTATCTTAAGTGAAGTACTCCAGGCTTAGTGGGACAATGTTCATGTGCTCTCTGAGAAGTAGACCTTAGCTTCTAATGTTAAGAGTGAGGACTTATGTTAGTGTATGTGAGTAAAGAACAAAAGACAGAAAAGAGCCACCAGGAAAAACAGCTTTGAGGGAGAGAGAGCTAGAAAAGACCCTGTCCCGGGAGAGTGCTGTTGTCAACAGTGAACCTCTCTAGAGGATGGGGTGTCTGTGGTGCTGTCTAGAAGCTAGTAGAAGTCTTAGATGACTGTTTGCAAGGGATAGCAAAGTCAGTCACAGTATTCTGACAGCATATAGGCCTCCTTGTTTGGCTCTGAGTCACCCTGCTCCCAGACAGAGAAGGCTGTGGATATTAGGGCTGGAGCATGTGACTGGAGAGGTTGGAAATGGTGGGGAGAAAGTGACCACAGAATACAGGGCAGGAAAATGCCGTGGCCCATGGGGTTAGTGGTGTTGTTTGGTTGGTTTGGTTTTTGCTTTTGTTTTTGGAGACAGGGTCTCAGACATTGAGAACTAGCCTCAGATTCACAGTGTAGCCCAGGCTGGCTTCAGACTTCCCACCCTCTTGTCTCTACCTCAAGACATTGAGATTATGGGATGTTCTGTCTATGCAGTGCTAGGGACTGGACCCAGGATTCTGTACATGGTAAGCAAGCACTGCCAACTGAACTACACCGTCAGCCCCTGCATGCCTGTTGCAAATGTGGACGATCATGCCTGCTCTACTCTGTTGCATGGATCCAAGTCTTATTAGGCTTAGAGAGTCAGTTCTGTTAGTATCCTGTCTAAACTCCACCTCCACAGTTATCTGGCAACACCCAGGTAAGCTCCTCCCCACAGTTACCTGGCAATAGCCAGGTAGGCCTGCCCACTATAAAAGGGGCTGCTTGCCTCCTCCTCTCTCTCTTACTCTCTTACTCTCTTGCCTCTAGCTTCTCCTCACCCTTCCTCCCTTCCTTTCCCCCTCTCTCCACATGGTCATGGCTGGCCTCCACTTCTCTCTCCTCTCTCTCTCTGATTTCTCCACCATCTTCTCCCTGAATAAACCCCCTCCCCTTTGGACCATTTGGTCTGGTGTTGTCTGTTCCAAGCTGCGCGCCGGAAGTCTAACAAGTTCCTAATTGGAACCCACACTTCCAGTCCTGCCTCCCAGGAGTCACAATTTGCACAACAGAGTGGTGATCTTAGGGTGTATCCTTCTCTGATTAACATACTTCCTGTGAGCACTGCTGGGAAATCATTCCTTCTTAACCTCCCTAAGCCAGGGTCTGACCTTCATGGATTCCTGTCCTTTACACAGTTGGTTCTGTCTGAAGGCCTGGGAGACCTGTCTACACAAAACACACATGGATTCCCCTTTGTGTTACTACTCTGTCTGTCCCCTGTACACTCTGCAGGAAGCTTGACTTCTGAATTTCCTGCTGTTTAAGTTCTGCTGGTAATTAGATAATTTAGCACACATTGAGAGCCCTGTTCCTCCTCTGTTAGTTTTGCTATGTTTGATGGTAAATCTAACCATGATCTACCGGGAGAGTTAAAGTAAACTTAACATCTATACCAGACTTGAAAGATGCTTGAGCAGACAAAAACTTATTTCTTACCAAGTCTTAAAGATAGCCTTAGGCAACAAAATTAATGGTAAAAATTAAAAAGTTCAGCCTGCTATGCATAGTAAGTTTCAGGACAATCATAGCTACATAGTGATGCCCTCAGGCTGTACTTAATTTCATCTGAAGTCAGTAAATTATGTGAACCCCAGGAGTTCCCCAAATATAGCAGTCATTTGAAAAGTACAGATTCTGCCAAGGACCAGCCTCAGGTTGGTGAGGGTTTTCCGAGAGAATAGGTGTCTGAGAGCAGCAAAAACAAACCACTCAAAGTCAAATTGTGAGTCCAAGCTGACAGCCTATGTTCTGATGGAGACAGATTTCCAGCCTACTTCTTCTATGCTTTGCTTTTTTTTTTTTCCTCTCAGATCTGTTTTCTCTGGAAATCTCTAGACACCTCTCTAGGTTTTTGTTTGTTTATTTGTTTATTATACTATGAATCAACATCCTGTGACCTCAGCCCCTTAATTCTTAGGAAACAGCCAGAATATAGTTTCTTTTAACATTGCATAAGAATTCAGAGATCTGCCTGCCTCTGTCAAGCAGAGAAGGTAAATTAGCTGGGTGGAACCTGAAATTTCTAGTCCAGAAATTGCCATTTATTTCTACCACACCTCTGCCTAGATGTGCTATGTCCCAGTCTAACCTTGAACTCAGGAATCTGTCTGTCTTTTTATCTTTCTGACAGGCTGGTTTATACTGTCTCTGCCTTTGTTCCTTTACATTCATGAAGCCCCTCATAATTCATATTGCATCCTTAATTTTCACACAGTTGAGAAATTATATATTTTCCAACTCATCTTTTTAGAGTTCTTATCCACAGCCTAAAAGGCTGTGCTGAAGGTCACAGTCTGTTCCATTCTGCTAAGACATAAGCCACACCTTCGCTGCCTAGACTCATGCTGTCTCAGGTCCTTATGCAGTCCTTAAGGTTAACAGGGAGGACATTGCTCAAAGGAACATGAAAATATGTTTATTATTATACAAACAAGCCTCATGCCATGGCAGTCCACATCTGCTGGTCCTGTCCCAGGAGCAGAAACCCTATCATTCTGTCCCCACCAAGGCCATGCCAGACTCTGCAATATTCCACACAACTCAGAAGGACAGAGTCCACAAACCCATTTCCTGCTCAAGAAGAGTGGCTTCCCTGCAGCCCTGACTATGGTCCACTGAGAACATGAAGTACCACCATTGCCCAGTGGGGAGGAGATGCCAAGTACTGCATCTGGGAGCCCAGAAAGAAACAGCAAAATGGAGCTGGAATCCAGACTGAAAGACAGTGGTACAGACCTGAGGATGTCACCCCTCTGCTTCATTCTGCATCCTACACTGCATGAAGGCTCACTGCCACACCTGCTGATGCTGGGCTCCCCCATGTCCTTAAAGGGATGGCACCTTCCTGTATGAAACTGATTTCTGACTATTGTTCTGTCCTCAGGAGTCAGGGAAGGACCTCTCATTATTCATCTCTTTTCTGTGTGAATTCCAGTTCCCCTATATTGGAATCTGTCCTTCCTGGTTTTCATTGACTGGTCTCACAAGTGATCCCCGAGGATAGCTATGCAGGGAGAGGGTAAGGGACAGCCTCACTGAGATCCCAATTCCCTGGTCTCCTCTCCCAGCCACTTCTTTCCCACAGAGAAGTTTCAGGGAAGATGTCCTGTAGGAATGTTCTGGAAAGATGCCCATCTCTCCTGAGATTCATTTGTTTCCAGGGACTGGGTAGATGTCTCAATTGGTATGAGGACACACACACAAACACACACATATTTCTGTCTTTGTGTGTGACTCTCCACACTCCCTCTCTCCCACCCTCTCTGTCTCTGTCTCTCCATGTCTGTGTTTCTCCCTCTCCCTCCCCCTCCCCCTCCCCCTCCTCCTCCTCTCTTTCTTTGTCAGACACAGAAATACCAGAGATATGGATGAGTATGCAAAGCTGTTTATTGTTTAGCACAGACCTCTTCAGCTGCATTAAAGAGTGACAGGGACAGGTTTCATGAGGACAGGTACTGATGTGCAGGGCAGAAAGGAATTGGTTCTTCACTACTATGATTTTGGCATTAGCAGATGAGCGAAGGTACAAAGTGCTGGCACTGGAGCTAAAATACCCTATCCAAGTGAACCGGAACCACTGGATAGGTGGGACTGTCCCGTGGAGTTCTGTTGGTACAGGCAACTCTGTAGAACTTCCTTGCTCCTGTCGTTTGGTATCTGCATAGACGAAAGTTCTGTGATGGAGTTGTGAGTTTACAGGAAGTTACAGATACCCGAGACGAACTATCATGACAATTTGTACTTAACCCGTTTCTGCAGGTGGTACGTGGATTGCCACACACACGAACAGCATCAGCAAAACTTGTATGAAGAAAACTATTGAAGTCCTTACATCTTCCTGTATAACGGTTAACAGCTATCATTGCAGAATTACACTGGCGGGAGCCTCTAATTATATGCTGGATTTTAAACCACTCAGAAGGGGTTGGTCGCTGGCCTGAGGCAAGGGTTAGGACAAGTCCCAGCAGGAGCAGGAGACAAAGTCGGGACTCAAGCATCTTCAGACCCATGTTTCCTGTGAGAACAGAAGAAAAGTGACTTCTCCCACCCTACTTCAATTTTCCTTATCTCTTCCTGAAGGCCCTCTGCTGTCACTGTGGGTACACAGTGCCACTTCTCCTGAACTCTGCCCCATCACTGCCCCTCCTGTCCCAGGCCTAGACAGTCAGTATCTTACCCAGTCTGCGTTGTGGCTCCTGTGGAACTCAGCACTGGTTGTCCTGGAAATCAGGGATAATGGGTGAGGTCCACTTGGGCCCATAGATATAGAGCAGGCTCTGTGGGTGGAGCTGGTGGCTCAGAGACTTCATCATGAGAACCCATAGATTGGTACATTGCCTGCTTGTGCAACCAGCCTTCTGTTTCTTCACGTGGCCAAGCCATGGTGCTGATGGCTTCATTGTAAGGAATCAAATTCCAAGTCCTCTTGTGCAGGGCAGTATGAAGTCTGAATCTGACTGTACATAGAATTCTCTGTATTGCCTGTCAATTGGCGGCACACTTCATGGCTGTGTTTCAGTAATGGACAGACCAAGATTCCTAGCCTGCACACTTAGAAACAAAGCCTTGGAAAGCCAGGATCATAAGAGATACTTACATTTCTGTCTTTCATCTTTAAAATTATATGATGTTAGGGTATACAGAGATGGCTCAGTTTAAGAGCACTTGATGATCTCCCAGAGAACCCACATTTGGTTTCGGTACCTATGCTGAGTTGCTTATCACTGCCTGTAACTCCATTCCAGGGCATCTGGTGTCTTCTAATAGCATCTGTTGGCATGTTGATATACATGTACACAGACACACAGAGGCTCTAAATCTGATCCATCTTTCATGGTATCATGGTGTTTCTACATCTCCTCTCTCATCTGTCTCCTCTCTCATCTGTCCCTCTTCCAGGAACCTAAAAGTCCTGTCTCTCTCTCTCTCTCCTCTCTCTCTCCTCTCTCTTTCTCGCTCTCTCTCTCCCCAGCCACTGATTGTTGGCTTTTTATTAATCGATCAAAAACCAATTGGGAACAAAAACTTTTACCATTTGGACACACCAATTTTTCAATTAAATCAAAGCATTAGAACTAACCCCTCAACACTGGCATTTGCAGGAAAGTTAATAAAATTGAAAATCATTGTGCTATCTGAAATAAGCCAAACTCAGAAAGCCAAATGTCACATTTTTCTCTCATATGCAGAACTTTGATTTTTTAATTTATTATTTTTATTTTATGTATATAAGTGTTTTTCCTTTATGTACCTGATGTCATCATAGGGCAGAAGAGGAAGTTGAATCCCTGGAACTGGAGTTACAGATGATTGTTAGCTACATGGGAACTAAGAATGAAACCCAGGTCCTCTGGAAGAGCAGTCAGTTTTCTTAACTGCTGAGCTGTCTCTCCACCTCAATGAATTTTTTTAAATAGGTTGTGTGTGTGTGTGTGTGTGTGTGTGTATGTGTGTGTGTGTGTATGTGTTTATATGTAAGCAGACATGAAATTAGATGAGACATGAAGAAAAAAATCTTAAGGAAAGTGTAAACTAGGTAGTAGAATATGTGGAATCAGCAGAAGTTGGGACTGTCTAAAACAAGAGAAACAGCCTCACAGGTTGAGGAAGTACAAGAAAGGTCAGAGACACCGAGGAACGAAGGAGAACAAATTCTGATTACACAAGTGAGTGAAATGTCCATGATAAACACCACTATATTGTATCTAACCTTTATATAGACAAAAACTAGAAAACGGGTCTTTAAACTGTACTTTCTGGAGTGCCCCATCCATCTGAGAAGACAGTGGCTTAGCATCCTGATGCTCTGTCTTCTTCTCGCCTTTAGCTAACAGATTCCATAGGAAATGGAGACAGAGGCCTTCCTTCTCATGTTTATCCAGGTGGTCGTCCTTGTCTCTGAGACAGGTATTGGTGCTTTTCTCTTTATGGTCTCTTCTCTCTCTGTAGCTAGGGCAGCTTAGGCTCTCTCACATTGCCATCTCTGTTAGAAGCAATGATCTGAATCTGGACAGTAGCTCATGGACTTTCAGGGAGGTTAGAAGTTTGTTTGTTTGTTTGTTTGTTTGTTTATTATCCAGGTTGTTTGTTTGCTGTTTTCTTTTAATGGTTTATATTTATTGTGTTGGTGAGTGCACACATACCACAACATGTATGTGGAGATCATGTATTTGGAGGTCAAAGGACAACTTGCCGAATTTAGTTCCCTCCTTCTGCCACATAGGCTCTGCAGCTCAAACTGGAGTCATCAGCAGTGCCTTTATTTGCTGAGCCATCTCACTGGTCCATTAGGAGAAGTTTGAGAGCTGTCCTTGGATCACAGATGGTGATGTATTCCCCTGTGTTCTCAGGTGGGTTCTCTGCCTTGAGATCACTGGTTTTAACTTGAAAATATAACTCCATATGTTAACATCAAGCAATGTGACAGTCATTGGGGTTCTCAGGACCATCTGGTAAGGTCCCTTCCACAGAGGATCCAACTATTCTGTGGATCTTACCAAAAGAACCCATTTCCCCCTAGACTGGGTGTGTACAACTTTGTTCCCATACTCCTGTAGGGCTTGTTGGATTTGCCGCAAGTTCATAGTGTATTATGTACTGAATTATCTGATTGGCCTCAGAGTCTAACCCAGAACCCATGTGAGGAAACAAGGGCTATACTTGGTGTCAGTTTGTGGAACTATTCTAATACTCTTGGGGCCAACAAGAACAGATTCAGCCATTTATCAGAGGTTTCTTGGCAAAGTCTTGCTAGAATCTACTTAAGTGCTAGGTTAATCCTTTCAATACAGCCTGAGGTTTGGGGCTTCCAATCAGAGTTTGGGTACTATTTTATCCCTAGAGTTGTGGATATAGATTGAGTGACCTGTGGTGTAAAGGAAGATTCATTTGAGTCTTTAATGACTAGGAGAGATCAAACCTTGGGATAGTGTCCTTTAGGGACACATATTTGACTCCTCTGTAGTCTTTTCAGCCCCAGTGGCTAACGTTTCTATCCAGCCAGTGAAGATGTGTACAAACACTAACACATATTTGAAGCGGCCCCAAGGAGACAAAAGAGTATATTCTACATGCCAGTTCTCACTGGGGTAGAAGTCCATCCTCTAGGCTGGTCCAAGGAGCGTAGAACATGAGGGCAGCAGAGTTGTGAAGACTGTAGGCCTGATAGCCTTGCTTTACTGTGGGTAAGTCTCTACCCAAGAACAGTCAAGTTACCATTTACAGAGTGGCATCCCTCCCTGGATGGAATGAGTCATGTATTCCCTGATTTTTCTTCCCTGCAGGACCTAGATGGGAAAGTATTTTATTTCCCACATTGATCCATGGCCAGTTTCCATTGCCTGCTTTTCATGGCAAACTGCAAGAGTGATGTACATGTTGGTTTTGTATCATCTGTCTTTGGAAGGAGCAGTGCTATCTATCTATAATGCTGTCTTCTTTGCCTTTCTCTGTGCTGGCCTATTTCCTTGGGCAACATTAGACATGCATGCCCATCTGATGGCCCTTCCAGTAGATGACTAACACTTGATCAAAGACTTAGATAGCTTCCAATAGGTTAAGAATCTTTCTTGCTTATGTTGGCTGTCAACCTTCTTCAAATTTCCAAAGATGGCAACAGAGGCATGCAACATTGTGAAGGCATACTAAAAGCAATGTAGATATCAACATTTTCTTTATCTTTGCCTAGATTGAGTTCCCAAATTAGAGCTTAGAACTGCCCTGTGGATCTAAAATGGAAGTAGGTAATGTGGTAACCTCAATCATTCCCCTCTAGAAAATCACACACTATCTTGTCTTGCTTTTTCAAGTTGGATGATTAGTGCCCTAATCAGGAAACCATTTCTCCCCTTGATTATCCAGAGGCTGATCCTAAGTCAGTGTGGCTGGCAAATGTGGAGGAAATAGTCTCAGCACACAATGTCCCAGATAGGAGGTCACTACCACGGGCATAAGTGAAGCAGATTTGGTGTGCCCTGTGTTCTCATAGTTACCTCTGGTTGTCTAGGAATGTCCTCTGGTGTTTACTTCCAGTTAATCATATGTAGCCCTTTAATGCTACTATAGACTTTACTTGGTTGGTGGTGAGAGCTTCTAGTCATTGCCTCCAGAGAGACCTTGGAAGCCTCTTAAACCATCAGTGATGTGGCTGCCAGAGCTTTTGGACAGGAGGGCCTTCTGATGATACAACATCTAATTTCTTTGGAAAAAAAATCTATTATAGGTCATATATTGTCCCCAACTATTAGAATCAATATCCTAAGGACAAGGTCTTGGCTTTCTGCCTGCTTCGTCTAGTTAAATGATTATTCCAGTTCACCATCCCAGCTGTGGTAGCCCAAGTCTGAGTTCTTCATAGCCTCATGGAGAGGTTTTTCCCATTAATGTAAAGTTGAGCACCCAGATTCAACAAATCCAGCATCCCCTAAAGGAGCAAAGTCCATCTTTAATTTTGTGTAAGTAGTTCAACTTTTGAGTCAAACGTACAATATAGGGTTGCTATGGAGCTGTAGAAACTGAAGTAAATGCCAAATATGGTAGTTTTTGCAGAATTATCTGGGCCTTTTTCTGGTAGTTCTGGTAACCACAAGAGGCTAGAAGGCTTAAGATGCTAATAGTATTTTGGTTTCAAATTTTCCTAGTACCAACATGTATGCAAATATCATCTACATATTGTAAGATGGTTTCTTGTGGTTAAACAAGGTGCCTAAGATATTTTTCTAATCCCCTACCAAAAGGACTTTCCCTGAACCCTTGAGGGATGACTATATCGCTGGCAATTTCCAGTGATTAGCAACTCCAGCTTGAAAACAAACAACTATTTCCTTGGTTACTTTCTCACTGCTGTGATTTTTTTAAAAAATTGCAAAACCAACTCGAATAAGAACAGGTTTCTTTTGACTTACAGTTTCAGGGGGACATCGGGACACAGTCTAGCATTCTGTCAAAGTTACGACAGCAGGCATGGAAATCATAGTAGTAGAAAATAGCCGGTCACATTATTTCCATATTCAGAAAGCAGACGGTGAACAAGACGTGAGGCTAGACTATGGAGCCTCAAGACTTGGCCTCAAAGACCACCTCAAACCTCCTCAAACCAATGGAGACAGGAACCCTCAGTGTTTGGACACGCAGATTCTGTGTGATTTGGGGGAGCCAAATTAAGACAAAGCATTAGAACTAATTCTCAATATAAAGGGGACGTTGGGGATTTAGAAAGTGTTAACTCAGGAATACCACAGGTGA